GCAGAGAGCAGCGGACTATCTACTGCTGAGGCTCGCTGAGCTTGAGTGGCGTCGCCACAACAGTAATACCCTTGCCTCGCATTCTCATGGCCTCGCCATATCTTGGAGATTTCGAAATTTCGGCCCGAACGGAAGCCACAAAGGGTACACGTGTGAACACAAAAGGAAGATTAATCATTCAATGTCGAGTATTTGAATAGCATTTTGTGTAAACTAATTCATGCGTGATCGGCCAAGTGCGTGTGCGTGCATGCGTGCGTGCGTGCATGCGTGCGTGATATATATACCTTTATTTATTTATTTATTCCGGAATTTTCAGAAAAGTCCACTTTCATCTCTGTATTTTGAATGTGTGTTTTTAAATTTAGTGTATTGTAGTCAATAACTTTTTTTCTCTTCTCCCCAACTGGTTGCAAATCCAAAATTCCAGAGTTCTTATCACCAGTTGGAAAAGGCCAACCAAGTTGATTACATTTACAAAAAAGTAAGATTTTGAGAAGAGTGCAAATACTTTTTCACTGTGCTGTACTGGCCAGGAATACTTGCTTTCAAGTATAGACAGCATGAGCCGTCTACTGGGGTTTAAATAGTTTATTAGCAGTACTGAATGATTTCAATCTGTACAGTCCCCCCATGAACACACCCTTCAGATTTTTGTGAATACTGTACATCGTTTCCTGGCACGATAAGGAAGAAATTATTCTTTGCTATCTGTGCTCGTCTGACAGCGTGAATGTATTGTTCCACCAACATAACTCAACACAAATGTCATGTCTATACTACCGGCCCTGATTGGAAATAATTTGTGCGGCAGCCATTTTCCAGCACTGCCTTTAGCCTCTTATTAATGGATTCTACCAGAGTGTCACGTTGTCACTGGAGTCTTCTTCCACTCCCTACGTACTCACATGGTAGCTGTGTTGTAGGCATTTTTTTATGGCTTTAAACATTAGCAGTTTTTTTTTTTTTTTTTTTTTGTTCCAGCAGCCCCAACGGCATTCAATAGCCTGACACCCAATTCGTCTCGACTGAACCTGAACTCCAGCATGCAGCCCTCCTCCTCCTCCGTCCCCTCCATAAAGTTGCTGGGCCTGGAAATGCTGCTCCACTACTTCCTGGGACCTGATGTGGTCTCCACAGCGACCAAAAGCAAGCTGGTCCTGACTCTTGGTGAGTGATCCACTCTTACTATTCTTGAAATGATAAATGTAGTAACAGCTGCTACACTCAGCTATAAATACTTTTGATGTGGTTCCAGAGCCTTTGAGGTATCCGCTGTTGAGTGCTGCTTCTTCCTTTAGCAAGCATGCTCCTGCACTCATTTCCAGCATCAAAGATGGCTTCAACAATGTCGGCAAGGATGCTCCAGGTGTGCCTCGCTGTTTCTTTGTTCGTAGAACCGATTTTGATGTTTATATTTAAATACTAAATCAACTCGCGTCACCCAATTCTTTGAATTTGGGTAACTTGCGCATGGGAATTAACTGGACTATATGCAAATCAAATGCTTTAGAGTAGAGCTGGTACAAGCATTTCATATCAGTTGATATTGATAATTATTTTTATTTAGTATTCATTTGGTAAAAGAAATTACAATAACACAACTATCCACAGAAAAATCACTGTTCAAAATATCTGGGAGAAAAACACCTTTTCAAGGAATGGATGCTTTTGTTATGTACATTGTCATGTTTACATCCATGCTCTCATGGCGGTGCCTTAAACGTGTATTTGCGGTTAATGTAAAGATGCTACCCCCAAAGCAGTAGCGGAAACACTTTAAATTAACCTTCATTCACTGTTCAAATGATATGCAAGGTACAGCATCTTAGGGGAAAAAAAACCCTCCCAAAGTAATAGTTTCTTGCAGTCCATTCATTTCAGTTGACCCATGGTCTGAGGTAGAAGTTAACTTGTTAGCAGGCTCATTGTCGGAATAAAGCTATAGACTTAAGCCTGGACATTTATTTTAACAACGTTAAGCCACACTATCTTAATAAAATTTTCGTAATAAAACTATTGGTCTCCTCAAGAATATGAGGGTCACAAATGTATAAGAAGTTCACTGAACTGCGTAGCAGTTCATAGGTTTTGTTTTTGTTGTTGTTTTAGTCAGCAAGGGATGTTTATAATCAAAAGCCTCTTAAAGGTGGATTACAGTTTGCAGTGATTTAAAAAAACGTATCTCGCAGTGGCTAGACCAGCCAATTAGAGACTGTACGGACAGAAGGCAAGACCAGGGGATACGATGCCATTTGCTCATGTACACCACCGGTGACAGAGGCTCATTGGGATACACAGACGCTTCTCGCAAAAGAGTCTGATAGTTTTTTCTCTCCAGTATAATTCCAGTTAGCAACAAATGTTACGGCTGAACATCACATGACCAAACAAAAAAAAAACAAACAAAAAAAAAACAGGTGAGCCGTGATTGGTCATTGCCGCAGCCCTGAGTTACTGTGATGTCATTTTTAGACGACAGCAAGTGGCAAACTGGGGCGCCCATTGAGAGGGATAAAAAGAGGAGGATTTTGATGCCTCTTTTGTATTCCACAAATGCAATATTAATCAGAATACCATGTTTAGATTACTGGCGGGGAATATAACATATTGTAAAGAAAATTTTGGTGTTGACTTCCCCTTTAAATTTGGCTTCTTAAAAGCTGGACGTAGCCTGTTATTTATTTAGCTAAACTACCAGTTTTTTTTTTTTTTTTAATATAAATTGACATGTTTTCTTTTATTTTACTTCATATTTCCTCAGATGCCCTTTTGGCACTTCTATGGGATCATCTTGTACATTATGTTATGCTGACCATTGAGTCTGGTAAGTGCTTTGTTCTCTGTCCAAAGTATTTTCTGTTAGAGTAAATTATAAACGTGTGTCGATATATTTTTTTAAATTCTGTCAGGAGTGTCCAAAATGCGCCCCCGGATCCATGGGTTCCAATAGCCATCATGCATCCCTAGTTTCAATACAAACAATAGCGACCCCCCACCCACTCCCTTTTAAAAAAAATTACATCTGACATTGGACCACTACACATTTTGAGTGTCAATGTGTATATAATTAAATTTCCAGCTAAAAAAAGAGAAGAGAAACAAAATAGAACCATAGGTTTATTTTGAGTGTTACAAAGAGTAATTTGCACTGATTTGGTTGATTTGCCCATATAACATAGAAATATACTGTATAAAATAGCATATAATATACAGGTATACACATTTATGATTACACGTTTGTGTTTATATCCATCTATTGATTTGAGCCAATTTCCTTTGTTCTTAATCCATTGCCAAGATATCAGATCCGGCCTCTGTATCAGCAGAACAAGAGTCCCAAATCCAATACTCTGGAGAAAAAAAAAAGTGTGGTCGGGGCTTCTCAACTCTGGAAAAATTTTGGACATTCCTGATTCATGTCTTAATGCTGTTGTGGCTCCCACACTTTGAGGAGGGTTCTTAAGGCAATTGTTCCCTCCTTTGTGGTGCCACATAGAGGACTCGTGATTGGGTCTGGGTTTCAGATCATTACGGAGGCAGGTGAAGAGACCACGTCCTTGCCTCCTGCCCGACTCAGTGCCACCGTCATCAGTTTAAGTCTGAGCACTCACTTGTTAGTGTGACTTTGACGAGAAACAACCACTGAGGGCTTCTTGCCCAATGATGTTCATCACTCATGTGACTCTGTAGGGTCGTGTTTGATGATTGCTTTGTTTGTGTTTGCTGATTGCTTTGTGTCTGCAGGAAGTAAGAAGGACCGACACGGCTGTGAAGTTCTGACCCTCATGCTTCAAGCCCTACAGAACGTGGTGTGCTCACAAGTTCTTCCTGCAGACAAAGTGCTGGTAAGAGTGTCCTACTCTTATCTTTTCAGCGAAGGGATGTTATTTCAAAGCAGGGTTGGGAAACTTAAGTCACATGAGCAATTGGTGAGACCTCTCATGCAATGCTAACCCCCCCCC